ATGCTCGGGCATTTCGGTAGCAACGAGAGTATACTGGGCTACCTTACAGTCAAAGGTACAGATACCAAAAGTTCCCCTCAACTCGCATCCGCAGTGATAAAACATTGACACAAATGAACATTATTTGTCCTTGTTAGTTATCCATTTGTTAAAATAAAAATTGATTAATAATTGGAGCTAACAAGAATGCGAAATATTCCTCCGAGGATGACAAAGAAATTAGCGAATTTAATAATAACAGTAAAATTAATGACGCTTCGTATCGTATCAGCGTCGATAAGACTCGAGTTGTCTTAATTGTAATGGCGAGAGAATTTTAACAATCCATATGTCCGAGTTATCTATTTCATTATACGGAGGATGATTGAGAGCGCCTGAACATTTGCATTGTAAAAATTTATTACACGACGCTCGATAAACGGTAAGAGAGCTCGGTGAAGATCGAAGAAAAACGCGGCTTTCAACAATGTGCCGTGACAATGTGCTCGACTAAATTTACAGTAATTTAGCGCCGCGCGACGACGAGAATTCGTAAATTAGCGGCGAGCCGAGTCACACTTACGCATTCGTCTATGTGATAATTTACTTTGACTTAGAAAGCCAGTGGAAAGTTGCCTTTTGTAACGATTCATGTTACAGCAGACACAACAGCTTCGATGAGAAAATTTCAGGCTTGCTTTTTTGCTCGTCGCGACTCCGTTAATTTTGTAAGCCTTTACAACTGTTTGCACGTAATCGAGATATTTGAATAATACGCTTACATGAATTTTACATGAAATTGTCCATTTTCTTTTAAGCGGATTTCGACAAAGAAACGTTTAGGCGCAATAACGCACAGAACTTTTTAATTTTTAATAACAACCGAAATTGTATTTAATTAACTTCCATGGCGATATATAAGCTCTTCATGATTAAATCAAAGCCGCGTTAATCCCACAGGCGGTTTTAAATTAAAAATGTATTTTTCATAATTGGGAGCTGTTAATCTCTTTTTTTTAAGCTTATACAATGAATTGGATTTCGAAAAGTCTACAGTTTGTACGAAAGCTTTGGAATTAATAGTTAATTTATTTTCCAGAACTTCGAAATGAACGAATGAATAAACTTCGAATTAATTTATTCCGTGAGTTTTTCATTAATTTTTCAAACTCTAAATTTCGTAGAAATTCTTTCTAGGATATATGTATATGTATACATATATCGAGTTTTTCGTACAAATAAATGAACCATTAGGCTACATAATACACGTTTATTCCAATTTTATTTGTCTTCCTCTATGGAAAGTATATTAGTATAAGGTAACTCTGACAGATACGTTGCGTATGACCATTCCTGTGTTTACCCAACATTTATCTTTTTCCGACGACCCCTCCCGATAATGGCGCAGCCACGAGACTCGTCGTAAAAGCCGGCATTGTGCCGTTCCCCAATCCTTTATTTCCCATTTTTCTTTACCCTCTTGTCATATCGCAGAGACGGAGATCGATACTGTCTGGATGTGTAGTTCTTTTTGTGCAAACTGCCACTACAAATCTCACCGCCGTGTAAATAAATCTAAGAGGGAGAACGACAAGAGGTACGTCTTATCGCCCCGCGAAAACGATTACAGAGCGTTTTAAGTAGCCGAGCTAAAGTCCGTGCGCTAAGTTCAATGTCCTTTGAGAGAGCAGAAAAATGCATTTACGGGAGACATGATTTAAAACTCTTTTCATTTAAGTTTCTGAAATTTTGTCTGTCAATATGCACGGTATTGTTTCATTATTTTCAATTTTATTGACATAAAAAAATTAATAATCTTGACGAGACGCCCGCCTAGCGAGAGGGAGGTCCAGGTTCAAACCCTGGCTGAGATAAATTTTTCGCAATAAATTTAAAAATTAAAATTAGTTAGACACTAACATCCTGTCCTGGCTCTTATATCCTTTATTACTTTGTATTCGTGATTAATAATCTTGATTTCATATAAAAGCAGAAAGTAATATTCTTGATAATAGGCGCATGCTCAGAAAACAATTATGATTATCTTTACCTTGTATATTTGATACGCGAGTCACAAGTTGAAAATGTGATCTATGATTATCTAGGACGGTACGCCTTCTATGGCGAGGCCTTGGCAATTAAGCCAAGACGGAAATTTTTCCCGAGACGAACTTAGTTTGTGAAGTTAACACACAATTTCGCGCTCTTTACACTCCGGTAGATTAGTTGTAAAAAATTTGCGTAAGTCCTCCATTATCAATTCAAATTAGTCACTCCGTAACGGAAAGTTGGCTCCATTATGAAAGAAGAATGCTTAACTTTTTGTACTTTTGCATTTTTGTCTTCCTTTTAAGTCTGTGGCTCTTGAACTTTACGTTGAACGCCAGATAAAACTTCTTTTGCCCGCGGATTTCGTGCGCCTACATCACGGTAAATTCCGCCATCGAAAGCGATCGCGTTGGAAGATGGTCGCGCCGTGACTCACACGTTCCCGTCCATACGTTGTCCCTCGAAAGCGGATGGCCGGTCAGGTTTTCCCACGTTCAGGTGTTTGCGAGCCACGACGGAGTCACGATGCGTACGCGTAGTTTCGCCGTAACGGTAGTCGCCGACTTGCAACTCGCACCTCGTGGAAAGTGCGACGCACACGCTGCACACACCCCGGTTTCATTTTCATTCAATCGCCTCCTCGTCCGAGGAACGCCGCACCGCGAGATTCCCCGTGTATGCATGTCATCCGTGAAACCCTATTAATTCTCCAAAGCTGACACGTTTGCAGCTTGGTATCACAATAACGACGCGATCCCAGCTTCACCGTCACCGAATGCAAAAAGTCTACGATGCAAAAAGACCAAAGATTATCTGATAGAACTTTAAGCCCTGGCGGCTGCATGCGTCGTTCTTGCACGAAGATGCAAATTCAAGCGGATTAAACTGATATTAATTTTAACGTGTGATACGTTGGAACAAGAAACGTCTATGTCCATGACAAATATGCGTCTAGGCAATGCAAATCAGCTGGAATTACGTGGCGTAATTAATTCAAAGTTCCCTCGGCGGTTCTACAGTCGCGAACAACGCGGACGCCGCGGGCAACGCGTGAGAAATTCGAGGCGGACGACGGGCGCGCGAATCTGCATGATAAACATTCGCGAGATTCCTCGGCTTCTCTTTCGCATTCGCTACGTCGACGTCGGCGGTTTCGCGGTGACGATTCGCGCGGCGATATCGTTCGCATTCCACGGGGTGCACGTCACTCGCCGACGATCGCGGAGTCGTCGGCCCGCGGGTACGCGTTCTGAAAAGTTGCAGAAAACTGCACGCTAAACTGCATGCGCCCGTACAATCCGCCGGTAACCATTGAGGCGCGATAGAACGTACGCGGTCAAAGAGCAAGAAGCGTCACTGCCATTGTTTGATATCTCTATACCATGACTAAGGGATTGGAATAAAAAGAATAAGAAATCAAGTCGAGAGAATAAGTTGATTTCAATGTTGAATATATTCAAATCGTTTAATTTATCGAAATTCGTAGGCAGATAAAAAACTTATAGACAATTTCAATTATAGATTCACTTATAGAGACAGAGAAAATAATTTATAGACAATTCGATGAAAAATACAATATAATTCGTTTTATTTTAACTTTCTTTAGTTTAATATTTTCGCTGTAATTTTATATTATTAATGGTGCAGCAGAGTGCGCTTTCTCACGACGAACATTTTGAATATTTTACACCCTGGATCTTACGGGATCACGTCAATTTCCTTCATGAGTAGTCTCGACTGAGTAACCGTTATAAAATTACACAAAGATTCCAGTATGCTCTTCTTAATAAGCTCGAGAAGCTCGGCGCAGCCTCGCCACTTCACGTTGGTCATGAAAGCAGTCTTGACACTAATTCGCACGTTATCAATTAATCGCGTCGCGCCGCACTTTTTCGCAGCGACCTGACACTCGCTCGCGGTATCAGCGAAGCGGAGGAGAGGCATCTCCGACAGTGTCCTCGCTCGCTCTTTCGCGACCCGACGGCGTGTCACGCCTACCGTGAATTGTACAAATTCATATTGCTACTCACACCCAACGGGATTACGAAACGTTCCGCGAAGTACGGGCTACGTGCGTTTCGGTTTCAATGGAAAATAATCCTTCGGACTTTTATATACTTTTTTTCAAGTATTTTATGATTTTACAGCTTGATATTTACACAACTGGATTGGCACCGTAACTGCGTGCAAATCTAAGTCGCATTGTTTCCTTCGTTATATCGATAAGTATAATTGTTCCCTACAGTACAAGTCACCGTCGTTAATTAGTAATCAGAATTTTCGCGAGGAAAGAGCTCAGGCGATCTAACATTATCATGCGGATGATAAAGGCTCGGTACAAATGCGATTACCATACTCGTCGGCTTTTTTTTCTCGAGCAGCGTACGTGCTGCGCACACTGGAACATTCGCGTGTGAGATACTGGGCTGAATGGTCGACTGCTAATTTCGCTAATTGCTTGCAAGGAGTCCGTGTATGCGTGCTATCACGTATTGATAGCGATACGTGGTAATTATGACGTGTACATGACACGAGTGTGCATAAGGACAGACGCCGTGGAGGCGCTCGACTTTACCTTCGTCGTTTCCTGGGAAATCGCGACGGAGTCTTTGATTAATCGTCAAGCGATAATGCACATTTGAGATAAGACGATCACGAACAACAAGAAATAAAATATCTCAACGTTGTATCCCGCGTCAGTATTCTGTGCTTCTAAACAACTCAGATTTAATAGTACTTTCTTAAAATATTATATATTGAAGCTGAACAGAGACTGAAGAGACTTTAGGTGTCACATTATTCCGAATAACGTATAAAATGTTGAATTGTAAATGTTTCAGATTTAATTATTCAGTGTCGAAAATTCTTGAAACTTTTATGTAGCGCTCTCTTTGTAGTTGTGTAGAGCGAACGTGCACTTTTTAATCTGCTTTTCAAATGCAAAATATGTAACGTGAATGATATTTTTGCAGATTCTCAGGATGTCGACCTGGATGCAATCCTCGGTGAATTGTGCGCCTTGGAGCGACGTTGCGACGGTGACATCGCCGCCACTCCTGCGCCAGATTCACAAAGGCCAGGACGACCCGCCAGCGCAAGGATCAATCCAGGCGACAACACTGATATCAAAAATGAAGGTGGTACGTGCTTGTAAATTCTTTTGCGACATAATATCCCCATTTATTGTAACGCAATTAAAATTATTTGTTACTTAAATC